ACACCTATTTTAAATGGTTAATGATTTATACCTCTATAAAGCAAATTTCTAGAGATTGCATTCTGTATTCTCACATATTAACTATAAAGAAGTTGGTGGTTTATTTTAAATGTTGTATAAAAAAAGTGATTAAACAAGTGCTCATTCATACCCAGCCATACAGTTACAATGAGCAGCAGATATTTGCCCACAGTTGGTAACAGCAATCCAAGGACAATAGTGGTCATCATTTAATTTTTGAGAAGGTTTGACAGAGGCTTTCATAAGGGTATATTGACTGTCACTTGGCTTGTACATGAATACAGTTTCAACCCAGCCAGATCTGAAGTAATTATGTGCTTCTAAGCTCTTGTAGTTTTTCATACTTTCCCTAGTGTACACACCTGTGAAAAAAGTGACACTTGTAAGTCTACATTCAAATATATATAATCTATAATTCTATATATTCTGCTCTTTCATGTTTTGTGAAAAAAAGGATAGAAAGACACAGGTCACCACAAATAAAGTAGTGGTCAATTGAATTGATTAACATCCAAGTGTCAGTTATACAGGAATGTGAGATATCTGTGTTATATTAGCTGTACTTCATTAAAACAGTACACAGCAAGGGTGCCTTATTCATTTTAGGACCAAATTCACGGTAGGGTGCCTAATTATTTATTTATCAAAATAAAAAATCAATACTATTTGGCATCTGTTAAAACAACACTGCACTGCAATTAACAAGAGTTGATCATGGTTGCTAGGGAGATTATCAGTTGTCACTTGTAGACAGTTGAATTATTCAGTATGTCAACAGATTCTAATACATTATATAATATATATATACATTTTATAAAAAGTGTAAAAAGTATGTAAACGGTTTAAAAAGCAACATTCTCTCAAAAATGTCTTTAATCATTAGATCCTTTCAAATACAGCACTGTACGTACTGTATTAAATAGAAATTAGATCTACGATTTTTTTTTGAATTTTTTTTTGAAGTGGCAACGCGCATTTCACAACAGTTCAAGTTCATTTCTTATTGACATATTAATTACCTTTTCATTAGATATAAGCCTAGTTTAAATCATCAAAAATAACACACAAAAAAGCAACAACAAAGAAAAAAAAAACAGTTATAGCAAAATTCACGTTCATTTCAGACATTACCGGATATATAGCTGGATACTGATAATCATTGGCAACATTGCTTATTGTATTTTTTATTTTTTTAATAGCAAGAAATAAGTTAAGTATATACATATACCTGGTGTTTCAATCAAATAGTTATGAATATCACCATATTCAACCGACGGCCACTTCGAAGGATCATTTTTCCAAACACCTGCTGGAAGCTTATATAGACATTCATCTAATCCAATTAAATTCAATTTAGAAACATATCTGGCTTTTGCTGCCGGATCAAGTTCATCAAAATAATTAAAAGACATAATTAATATGTTATTAACAATTTTCACGACAACCTGATTGAATATAATCGATTGAAATGAACATGTCAAAAGTCCAATTAACGATGCGCTAATGCGTAACCAAGCGATAGCTTCCCCGTCTCTAGGCAGCCATTTTACCTGTGACGTCATGCTAAAGCCGAGAATTATAATTATTTACACAAGCGTTTTATATCCTAACACTTACACTAATGTTTTATACCCTAACAATTTCACAAGTGTTTTATACCGTAAGAAATACATACACCCGTTTTGTAACGTAACATATACACTAGTATTTTAATCCGTAACAAATACACAAGTGTTTAATACGGCAACATATACACTTGTGTTTTATACTGTAACAAATACACTATGTGTTTTATTTGACAATATCCGCATACAATAGTACTTTAAACCGTAACACACACACGTGTTTAATATAATAACACATGTACTAGTGTTGTATATCATATACAAGAAGCTTCTCCTGGTTCTTTATCGTGTCAAGTGTTTTTAAAAGCACCCATACACGGAACCTCGATTTAAAGTCTAATCCGAAAGACTGATTAGTAATTTAAGCTGGAACGGTCCGGGGATCGGACACACAATGTCGATATAATTACAAGTCTCGCGCTCTGACCGATTGAGCTATGCGGGCTGGCAAGTGTATATCATAACACATGCATTAGCGTTTTATAACAGTGTTTTATAATTTACAAAATTTACTTAAAGCTTATTTTAAGCAGGAGCAACAATACAAAATTATACTTTTATGATGACTGTATCCTTGATTACATACTTTAGTATACCAGTTGATTGTTTTATTAATGTATAACAATACATAGTTGTAAAGGCACATTTGGCGTATTAATCCTTGGAAAATTACAATTTGTGAAACACAACAAAACATGTTAGTATGGTTGACTTGCCGTTTGTGAAAAACGAAAAATATTGCACATTCGGTGAAGTCATCATTTGTCAAAAACGACAAATGTTGCAAAATCTGTAAAGTTATCATTTGTAAAAAATGACAACAAGTGTTTTAAGTTCGATGAAATTATCATTTATGAAAACGACAAATGTTGCAAGTCCGGCTGACTTTCCTTTTACGATAATGCCTGAAGACAGCTTAACAAGTAAAGTATAAATCGTAAAACGTATATTAATGAAACTGACTGGATTGCCTAGCAACGCGTTGTCACAAAAGATACGTTGATAAAATATTCGGATGTAATTTAATCTTATATTCTTAATGACAATATTGATGATTTATAAAGCTTAAAGAGAGATTTTTTTTTAAATAAAGATGCTTCTAAATGTTTCTTTATTCGAAACAAAGTGCTGACGCAAATAGCAAACCAAACGATAGCTCTTATATTCAATTTAATTATGTTGCATATTTATTTCCCATGACGAAGTTATTAAGAGAGATTGTCTAAGATATTTACTGTACAGAAAATGATAAATCTAGACCTTGGCTATAATACTTGCATTTTACAAGTAGATATTTATTTAAAACCTAAACAATGACAATGTCGGCTATATTAATGGGACTCATCTGAGGTTTTTTGACATCACGGGACTTGAAATATGTTTTCGAGAATTATGCATGGAAATAGTATGCTGCAATGAATTGATATCACGAAATTATGTTATATGACAACGAATGGTAAAATAAATATAGTCCTTTTTAGAACCTCAATTTACACAAAACGTAATACAAACACGTGCAAGTTTGTCACAAGCCTCCGCATACCGTATGACTTTACCACGCACAACATGCATGCGTGTGACATTCGCATGTAATAATAAAATTCTTATGTCTGATTACTACATTGGTATAATGTCATGGTATAATGACACGAACTGTATTTCTTATTTTTATCACATTTCCTTCTCATTTTCTTTCCATGACATTAAATTGTGTCTAAATGCCTTCGTGCTGCTCCACCTTCACACATGCATCTTTTTGCAGTGTTTTGATATCCGATTTTATAGCACTTGGCAAAGAAACATTCATATAGTAGAATGTTTACTCCAACATTGCACATCAAATAATATAATATAATGTGTCGATGTGACGTAAAAAAATCATTTCATTGTATATAATGTAAGTTGTGTCAAGACTCTTACAAAGATTTTCATGAATTTTTAAACATTGTGATCTTTAACTCATTTCATATAATATATTTTTATCACAAATGAAGTCAAACAAACCAAAGTTTCCCATAAAATGAAATTTCGATCAAATAAAAATTATGTTTATTTTTGTAGTATGGACATTTACACCTGTGGCTCATTCTAGTTTCCTGAGTATAAATCAACGCATTAAATCTTATTTGAGTGTTTCCGCGCAAGGAAATAAGAATTAAAAAGAGTAACAGAAAGCGTTAACGAATCTAGTTATCATGTGATATTTGGTTTCTCTGTATCGTCATTGTTTCATAGTCAGAACAATGGTTACCATAAACAGACATACGGATGTTTCATTAAAACAATAAAACAAACAGACTTATGAATGTTTTAGGGAAAAAAAGCGGATGAATGTTTTATCATTAACAGAAATATTGATATTTTATTATACACAGACAGAAATATGTTTTATCAAAAACAGACAGATGGGTATTTTTGTTATATGTAGATAGACAAATGTTTAATCATAAACAGACACATGAATGTTTTATCATGAACAGAAAGTTGGATGTTTTATCTTAAACAGACATACATTTTTACTATAAACATACAGTCATATGAATCTTTTATTTTAAACAGACATATGAATGTTTCATGAAAAACTGACAGACGAATGTTTTATTATAAATAGACAGATGAATAATAAATGAGTAAACAGATATAAATTGTATCATACACATGCATGTTGTATGAAATACAATATCATGATAGATTTTTATCATAAATAGACACATGCATTTTTATGAACAACACACAGATGGAATGTTGTATCATAAACAGACTGATGGATGCTTTATTATAAACCGAGAGATGAACGTGTTATCATAAACAGATATACGAACAATGCATCAAAATTGATAGGTGAATATAAGAAACAAATTAATTAAATATGATTTTTCATTATAATTTATAACTCTTCCTACGTTTGTCTCTTTCCATCTACAGTTCTTAAAGGAAACACTTGTTGTTTGCTGTTTGTAATAGCTCGGAAGTGTGTTTTTTTTTAATTGCACTACATTTGTACGTACAACAATCATGCAACAAAAAATGACACGTGGCTTGTTCAATGATTTTCATTTACAACAGTCATCAATCAAAAAGTTTCACATAATTATATTGCTTATTGATATATTTTGTCAGCCACGTGACCTAAGGTTATGGTTTATATTCTGGTTTCTCAAAATTGGGGGGGGGGGGGTAGTATGCCTATTCAAGAAAGGAAAGAATTGGTTTTCAGATTGAAGAATTTTACATTTTTACTATTATCGTTCTGTTCGTTCTGTTCTAGTGTTAAAAGCTAACTATAATTATGCTCTACAGTGTTAAAGATAAATATTGCCTGAAGTACCAGCAAATAAGTGTTAATTGTTCAAAGGCAAGGGAGTTGAATAATATTGTATCAATAACTCATTTTTATTTTAAAGCTTTGAAAACTCATTCATTAATTTGGTCATTATTAATGCCATTTTAAGTCAACAAAAAATGACATTTTAAACAAATTTTGAATATGTACTAATTGACCATACGTCTCAACCTTCTTTTACTTCTTTTGCGTTTTGGCAATTAGTACAGTGCTTTATTATTGTATAAGGAAGTTAATTGATCATTGTTATATATTATGTTTCTTTTATACAAATGCCACACCACAATTAGTCAGAACTGTTTAATGCTAGCGCATGTAAGTCCCTTCTAAAGAGAACATTTATAGGCATGGTGTTTCTTTAAAACTTACCCTATACGAAAATGTTTGCTTAAGCTTGTTATAATAATTATTTCACTGTGTTATCTCAATTTGTTGCAGGAAACTCTAGTAATATACCAACAGTTCCAGTGGATCATGGTAATATTCATTCGTTTGGGACATTTGTGATATTTGGAATAATTTGTTTCGTCATAATAGCGGCTATATTCTTCAGTTACTGTATTATTTTTGATTAGTTAATTTTTGTCATCATTTATTAATGAAGTGTATGACAGTTTATCATATTTTGAAATTTTCTAAAAAAAGAAACCTGAAAATATCTAGACAATAACTTTTTATTGTTCATTCTTTTTGCTGCCAAGTTGAGTTGAAGAAGTAATATGATTCAAACTATATGGTGTTATAGTTGTGTCTGACAAATAATTGATAATGAAAAATGTGTATGATGCAATATAGAAACAACCTAAATTATAAAAAAAGACTGTCCCACTCTTTTAAATAAGCATTACCGATACATTATGATTGATATTTATAGAAATTTTTATTAGTCACGTGGATTATTGATTATAATTGGTTATTTTGTCACAGAAAAATATATAAAATTTAACACAATTATAACAAATTGTCAAGTCATATGTTTGTTTTTCATGTTTACTGAAATCAACACTTGAATGGTAACGTCTCTTTAATGTCATTTATAATATGTTTTTTATGATATGTTTATTATGATATGTTTATTATGATATGTTTATTATGATATTTTAGAGTCTCGGAATGCAAGTATAAGCATGGATGACAAAATCCCACTAAAGACAAGGACGTGTGAAGGTTTGTTGTATTGATAATTTCGTTTCTGACAGTACATTGCTCTGAAAGTTTTTAATTATTAGTCTCATAAATACAGAAACAAACGTTTTCAAAATGGATTCTGTTGTTTTCAGTTAAGTCAGTAAGATACTATGAACTGTTCAATATGGTTACACCACATACACATGTTTGGTCGCACTGATATTGTAAATATTGATATACTTATGTTCTTATAATAATATCTTAGCAAATCCGAAAGTAATTTTGTACTCAGTGTATTGTGAACATGAAAGAAATGTACAATATACCAATATTGTCGCAAAACCTCGCAAATGACTTCATTATGAAAATCACTTTACGCATTAATTGCAGTTTGTACAAAATGTTTGTATTCTTCTATCACTAGTGCAAATATTACATAACATGTTCTCATTTAAAAACTATTTAAAACATCGAA